CATTACCATTACAACTTGCTTTAGTGGTTATGTTGCCAGAAGTGCTTTTGTGTGATCTGCCAGGCGCCATGCCCTGCATCCACTACTAGCGTCAGCGCTCTTGCAATGCATTCAGCTAAGAGTGACTTAAGCCCTGCACATCCAAACTTAGCTCAGACAGAGATCTCTCTGTCGAAAGTAATGCATGCAGGGTGTGGCACTCAGCAGACTCCATGTAAGAAGGCAAACCATTCTAAAACAGCTTGGCTACATATAATGGGGGCTCCAGGACACTCCTAGTACAATAACCCCTACAGCAAGCTATAGTGGTTATGGTGCTTAGAGTGTTTATTTAATACATTGTATCTATCTCAGCTACTTAGCTCATCTCTCACCTCTTACCAAAACTCATTGTTTAGTGAACAACTTGCGATGTTGATAATATAAAGTGGCTCTTTGTCCATGTTCTGTTTAAGGCAAGAACAGCTTTTTCCAAAAGGTTTCAAATCCAATGAATGTCAAAGTCCACATAAATTAAGCCTGACAAAATTTAAAGCAGACATGAAGATCAAAAGGAGTATTCTGTGTGATTGCTATTAAAGATTTTAAAATGCGGCTTAAAATTTGTAGGCTTTTGCTACTAGTCAAGCCTTGAAAGTTACTCGACACTGCAAGCCACTGCAGAAGGGGTGAATTTCTACTCACCATTGCTAAATTTTCACTTGCCAAGAGCTAGTAGACAGTGGAAATCCTGAGTCATGCTTTAAAATATTGGCATTTGTTGAGTGAAGATCTCCAGTACTGGTCTTCTAATGGACCAACTTTCATTAAAGGAACACTTCATGCACCATAACAACTGCAGTCTGCTGTATCCACCACATCCAGTCGTCTCTAGCAGAAGATGGATTGCTGCATAGAACAAAGCAGGACCATATTCATTGGCTGAGAGGTTAAACACTCTCAGCCAGTGAGAGAGGTCCTATATGCTTTACTCTAGAGAAACATTCAGATATTCCTTCTGGAGAAGACAGGGTATGGCTGAAATCGTGCTAAACGATTTGCATCTTGTTGCAGTGGGTTGTAGTGGTTCTAGTGCTTGTAGTGTTTCTTTTTAAAAATTGCTCAGTTTAATGTCATACAATGCCATTAAAGTTTGTCTAACTTTGATAAGAGTTGAACAGATGACAAACTTCTTTCTTCCACCTCAATGTCGAAAAACTGCCTTGGGAAAAGCCTTAAAAAAATTAAATCAAAGTGGAAAATAGTGAAACAGAAAATAATGCACTTACTAAATACACCTGGGTGAGATCCCCCTTCCCAACATATAAAAACAATGAGAAATAGGTGGAGCAAATAAATATATTTCTCCAACTGTATATAATGATTTCCTACAAAAGGAGAGAAAATGGGGAGACACTAGTATAGATGCACCAATATACTGATAAATAGTATATAACTATATAATTCCTAGCACTCACAAAAGTAGAGCCAGTTTTTACACTTGGCTCAATGGTATGAGACTAACTTTGTAAGGGTAATCCCGATCCCTCTTCTGTGAAGTAGTTGGCAGCTTTGGCAGATACTCTATACAGGGAGTGCAGAATTATTAGGCAAATGAGTATTTTGACCACATCATCCTCTTTATGCATGTTGTCTTACTCCAAGCTGTATAGGCTCGAAAGCCTACTACCAATTAAGCATATTAGGTGATGTGCATCTCTGTAATGAGAAGGGGTGTGGTCTAATGACATCAACACCCTATATCAGGTGTGCATAATTATTAGGCAACTTCCTTTCCTTTGGCAAAATGGGTCAAAAGAAGGACTTGACAGGCTCAGAAAAGTCAAAAATAGTGAGATATCTTGCAGAGGGATGCAGCACTCTTAAAATTGCAAAGCTTCTGAAGCGTGATCATCGAACAATCAAGCGTTTCATTCAAAATAGTCAACAGGGTCGCAAGAAGCGTGTGGAAAAACCAAGGCGCAAAATAACTGCCCATGAACTGAGAAAAGTCAAGCGTGCAGCTGCCACGATGCCACTTGCCACCAGTTTGGCCATATTTCAGAGCTGCAACATCACTGGAGTGCCCAAAAGCACAAGGTGTGCAATACTCAGAGACATGGCCAAGGTAAGAAAGGCTGAAAGACGACCACCACTGAACAAGACACACAAGCTGAAACGTCAAGACTGGGCCAAGAAATATCTCAAGACTGATTTTTCTAAGGTTTTATGGACTGATGAAATGAGAGTGAGTCTTGATGGGCCAGATGGATGGGCCCGTGGCTGGATTGGTAAAGGGCAGAGAGCTCCAGTCCGACTCAGACGCCAGCAAGGTGGAGGTGGAGTACTGGTTTGGGCTGGTATCATCAAAGATGAGCTTGTGGGGCCTTTTCGGGTTGAGGATGGAGTCAAGCTCAACTCCCAGTCCTACTGCCAGTTCCTGGAAGACACCTTCTTCAAGCAGTGGTACAGGAAGAAGTCTGCATCCTTCAAGAAAACATGATTTTCATGCAGGACAATGCTCCATCACACGCGTCCAAGTACTCCACAGCGTGGCTGGCAAGAAAGGGTATAAAAGAAGAAAATCTAATGACATGGCCTCCTTGTTCACCTGATCTGAACCCCATTGAGAACCTGTGGTCCATCATCAAATGTGAGATTTACAAGGAGGGAAAACAGTACACCTCTCTGAACAGTGTCTGGGAGGCTGTGGTTGCTGCTGCACGCAATGTTGATGGTGAACAGATCAAAACACTGACAGAATCCATGGATGGCAGGCTTTTGAGTGTCCTTGCAAAGAAAGGTGGCTATATTGGTCACTGATTTGTTTTTGTTTTGTTTTTGAATGTCAGAAATGTATATTTGTGAATGTTGAGATGTTATATTGGTTTCACTGGTAATAATAAATAATTGAAATGGGTATATATTTGTTTTTTGTTAAGTTGCCTAATAATTATGCACAGTAATAGTCACCTGCACACACAGATATCCCCCTAACATAGCTATAACTAAAAACAAACTAAAAACTACTTCCAAAAATATTCAGCTTTGATATTAATGAGTTTTTTGGGTTCATTGAGAACATGGTTGTTGTTCAATAATAAAATTAATCCTCAAAAATACAACTTGCCTAATAATTCTGCACTCCCTGTAGAAATAAGGAAAGCTTCATAGCTGAATTAAGTATGGTCAAAACACCTAAATAAAAAAGTAAATGAACGCACTCATGTTTTATTATTTGACATATATATTTTTTGTCTCTCCATATTTTAAATGATTAATAATATATTATCTATTAGAAATTACAAGTTGATATCTGGATCATTATAGTGATTTAATGAAAGTTGGATATTTTTTAATATTCTGTATTTATATTATGTCACTTTGCACTAATTCTATCTACTATTTATTTTTATTTTTACCTTTAACATTATATATCAGCAGCACCATTAGATACATATATATATTTATTGTTTGAAACATTAGACATTTCTCTGTATTTATTGCTTTTTTTCGTATATATTGTATCCATTACGGACTGTTTGAATTACATATGCTGCAAAAAAGACTGAGTTATATCGTACGAACGCAGTGGAATGCACGGATGCGTTCCAATACGAAGAGAAAGGAAATGATGTATGTGTTCCACCGATGGAACGCAAAATCCGGAAGTGGAAATAACGTACGAACATACAAACCGATGGCAGCAAGAAGGCGCCAATTATGGACCATTTAAAAGGGTACCTGTGTACAGTAAGACACATCAGCAACTGAGGAAGCCTCTAAATTAGGCGAAACGCGTTTTCAAGAATTGCCCTAAGGACTTACCTTCAGACTGTAAGGGCTTGATTTTATTTATTTTGTTTTATATTCACTTGTGCACTTTAGAATAAAGCACTTTTTATTTATACATACCTCTGAGAGGACATCCTATTACTTGAAACCTCCTGGGAGTATAAAGAAGGCAGTGGGAACCTTTATATCCCACAGAGCTGGAAGTTTGAGCCTTATTCATAGGCTCCCTATTTGTGAGAGTTTTTCCATTCACTATTTGCATTTCATGATATCATACAGGCTATATTGCACGATTATGTGTTCTATTCTGCTTTATCCTTAGGAATATATTCAATGTCAGAAACCAAAAAAAGAGGATACTCCACCTTATATTATATGTATATTTAGGTTTGTTGTGAGTATAAAGGGAAACTCACTAAGGTGTTTGAGTATTTATTATCATTTGTGTGTCTCACTGGGATACTGTTACTATTTACCATTATAAGTTAGTAAGATTGTTTTTTTTAAAAAAATGATTGCGCTTGGAGCAGAAGAAATATTAGTAAAATATTAGTATAATACGTATAAATTGTTATCCATACAACATCAATATTTTATAGCAGGACAGACTAGCCTTGGTACCACATCAATCTGATATGAAGAGCCAATTTTTGACACCCTTATTTTAAAGGAATAACCTGATTCCTCCTGTGAAGGATTGATAGATATAGTTTAAATATAATAATGCATTGCTAGTGAGTACTTTGAGCTCATTTTATACTTCATTAAGCATATATTGTGTAGGCCGCCTGAGAGGCCTCAAATTTTCCACTCCTACTTATTTACTTTCTTATAAAACACTTCATTTTTCATGGGTAAATTATCAGACTAGTTATTATCTTTAAATATCCCAGAACTGCCAAGAAACAAACTACAAACTCCTCTCATTTTGGTACAGAACACCTGATAGCCTACACAGGATCTTTCCAAATGTACCTGACACATGCTGGAGATGCAGAGAAGCGCGAGGCACGCCACTACTCATATGGTGGGACTGCCCCCTCATTACGCCATTCTGGGAAGAAATAAAACAGAAAACAGAAGACATACTAGGGACAGACGACGGACTTGACGTGGGGGCAGGTCTCCTGCACTCCACACCTGATACTATAGGGACATATCGGAAAAACATTCGTAGACACCTGTTGAACGCTGCCAAAGCACTAATCCCATTATACTGGAAGCAGATGGCTATTCCAACAATAGAACAATGGATGGAACGGATGGAGGAGATATATGGTGCAGAATCAACACAGGCCACCCTACTGGGTCTTGAGGACAAACACGTGGAGCGCTGGCGCCCATGGCTGCTCTATATAGCAGATCGGAACGCAGACAGGAATGAACCCCAGTGGACCCAAGGAACGCTACACCCCCTCCTGGATGGAGAATGAGACCCAAGACGATACCCGCAGTAACCACAGGCGCAGGCAATGGGACCCCCCTAACCCACCACACCCTCCCCCACACACCCCTTCTTCAGCACACCCATCTATCCCCCCTCTTCACTTTTCATATTTCTCTACCATCTCAGTTCTCCAACGATGAGGCATAAACCGACTGAATAACTGATGCAGCTTAACTCAACTCGAGGTTACCAACAGATACACTACACATTCATGCTCCATATTTAATCTAGGGGCAAACACTTCAACCACAATACTTCGGAACATGAACAGGGTAAAGATACAAACAGTTACTGATCTCCAAAATGGGCTCAATAACCCCTGCTATCTCTTTGGGGATGAGCCCCGCAGGTGATGAGGGGATAGATGAGGTACTCGCAAGGCGGATTCAGCAAAGACGTCGACCAGCTTAGGGAACAGTATGGGGACAGCCACCCCAATGACATAAGATGATCCCCCCGGACAAACAGCCCTCGATGATAGACCGCCCCGAAGGAATCAGACATGCACATATTACCCAATTTGCTAAGACGGACACAACCTCTAATAACTCTACTGAACACAATAGGACACATTTGACCAACAAGATAGCCTACCCGAGCACACCCTTCTACACGACCATACACACCCTTTAATAACCCTCATATCCCCCACGAAGCACAGTCCACTGCTTCAGAAAGTTACTATGAAAACCTCCAATAAGCCGACTTCAACTTACAGCCTATAAATATAACAATTCATAATAGCAACCTGAGCACCCTCCTGACTAAACTAGCCTGTTGCACGCTTTACTCCAAGTTTATGTATACTGACATACCACTGTTTAAATGTTGACCACTCAAATTTGCTGGGACCTGCGTGTCCGTTATTTCCTATTTGATTGTCGTAGCTATGAGTTGATTATTCAAATATTGCCGGGACCTGCGTGTCCGTTACACTGTATTTTACTGCTGCAACTAATAAACAGCTTTGAGAACCCTAAATATCCCAGAACTGTTTTAGGTACCTGCTGAGTTTCATTCCTCACATCTAAAAATATATATATTGTTGCAAAAGTCATAAAACTTGAGACACAATGTGACTAAATATTAATCAATTTTAACCCTTTAAAGACAAAGTTCTGCAGAAATATATATAAAAAAATGTTCTTTACTATTGTGTGTAGCGATACATTTAAAACAAAAATTAAACCAAAATATTGATACTCCTTTGATGTTTTCAGTCACCACAAAAGCAATTGCCTCCAACCATTCTGAATTTGTCAGGACAGTCTCAATTTTTGGTACCTGTCCCGCCATCCCGCCTTAGTTCCCTGGTGTCCCGCTTTTGGGGACACCAGGGAACTGTCCCCAACAATTATAATATGAGCGCATCATTAGACATGCAACTAAATTTTATAGCCATGCATTCTTTCACTCTCCGCCATATCTCGGCCGAATTTGCATGAGCAGCAGCCTTTGCACTTTGCAGTTGGACCGCCTTTTGCCAGAGATTGTGCATCTTGCACTATCTTGGGACCACTTTGGAATTTACATCGCACAGCTCAAAGAGAATGGTGCGGTGTATTCCAGTTCCTTCTCATCACCTCACTTATTCCTACACCACCCAGTAGGGAAGGACATGTTCATCAAGGAGAGAACACTTATGTGCTCTCTTATGAGCCTCCTGATTTTTTGTTCCTACTGTAGTGAAGTTTGAGTTTTTGTGATGTTTGCATTTATAAAGGTGACCTTTTACAGTTTTAACCCCTTAAGGGCACATGACATGTGTGACATGTCATGATTCCCTTTTATTCCAGAAGTTTGGTCTTTAAGGGGTTAAAATAAAACATTTACACAATATAAACGTAGGCTCTCACCATCACTTGGTTGAGACCTCATTATAGTAGTCCACCAGGAATATATGCGCTTGGCGAGCGGGTGCCGGTTTGTTCACCCCTCACTGGTGCATTCTGACACCATTTGTTTTTGTCATTGATTGTACTTTCATTCAAAACTCATTTGCAGGCCATCAATAGTAATTTTGTCTATATTTAGTTCTATTATAGTGTGTTTCTTTCTCACTGGAAACCATGCTGTTTATTAATTATAGAGGATTCGACCCACACTCCACACAACTTCCAGGCCAAGATCAATGCAGCAGTTGCAACTAGAAAAGGTCCTAGCAAAGGCATTTGCACAATCACCTTTGGAGACAGCTCAATCCCTACCTTAGGAATTGCATGAGCTGAGCTATCATGGGCGCAATCTCTGGTGACTCTGGGCCAACTAAGTAATCAAAGGGTGAAGCCCAAATGAAAAAGATCCAAGAAATAGGGAGACCCATCCAACCCCTTTCAGGTGATGAGAATGACTATATTTCCTTGTCCATGAAGATACTAAATGAATGACAAGCTGATAGATCGGCTTCAGACAGGGAAGATGATTTACATGATTACCACCCGCAACCCCAATATGTCAGGGAATCGTTTGTAAGTATGTCAACATGGCTGCTGCCTCTCATGACTCTGGCAACCTTGATGATGCCGACACTATCCTTGACCTGCAAAGTATCAGCATGTTTAATCCATGGAAGTTGAGTAACTTGAGTCAGAAGTGGATTCCTCCAGGCCACATCTCCAAATTCATCCATTTGTGGCAGCAAAGCCGTTGGACAAAGAGGTTCGCAATCAGTTCAGGGCTCAATGCCCCCTTTTTATACTACCTGCTAAAGTAAGCCAGATGCCAGAGTTTGACCTAACCATAATCAACTACTGGGCTTGAAAGTGGTACAATATAAGTTACTTGACATTTTGATGCCATTGGTGCAAATACTATACCTGGCAGACGATGCCTTTTGTCAGGGTATTTAGCTAGATGCCAGTGATACTTGTGAATGTACACAGATGTGCATTTGTCTGCTGGACAATGCCAACCTGGCACTGGCCACCAAACAAAGAGAAGCAAGATCTATGAATAGATCCTTATCTAGCAGACTTGGAAATGAAAGAACTGGGCCCACCAGCACAGAGCCTGCTATTCAGGGAGCCTTTCATCAAAGAAATTAATAAGAACGTCATCATTTTCTCTTTGTTAAATGAGGCTCAATCTTTAATTAAGGGAGTTTTTTGCATCACATCCAGAGGTGTATTCTCCAGGGTTGGTCAGCAGAGGAGCCGCTGCACCATCTGTTATTGGCCCACATCATTTAAAGACAACAATATACCCCTCCCTTGGTTAAGACAGAGGACGTGGTTCCCATGCATGTGGCAGGGCAAAGTTCGCCTCATGTGTGTTTACCTCACGTAAAAGTTTCTTTCCACTATTTATTGCTGGCCAACTGTTTTCTTCTGACACATAGATCCTGCAAACAGTACAGGGATAACACATATAGTTTAATTATTCCCCAGAACAGCAGACTGCCCTGCAACCTCTCCAACTCTCGCTCCTCCCATACTACCTCGTATACAAGCAAATTCAGAATCTATGAAAAAATGGGCTATTCAACCAGCCACAGATGTAGGGGGGTTTTGTTTTAGCAATATGTTCCTTGTGCAGAAGAATACAGGAGACATGCCACTCATCAATTTAAAACACCTGCATAAGTCCAATACGGACATTTCAAGATGGAGGTTATCCACCTATTGAGGGATCTCCTTTGAGACAGACTTTGGTTTACTCGCCTAGACCTTAGGAGTGTTGACAGTTTCTGCATTTTATGTGGAAGGGTTGCCAATGGCAATTCACATGCCTTCCATTCAAATTGAGTTCAGCTCCCTGGTGCTTCACCAAACTACTCAACCCAGTAAAAGCTTATGTGAGAACTCAAGGGATCTGCTGCATCATTCACCAAGACAATCTCCAACTCTTCTCTGCAACAGCTCCCAGATTGCAATCTAAGACATGATATGTGTTTCATTTTCTGGAATCTCTGGGATTCGTGGTTGTCATGATGCCTGCCCCTAGTGCTGTCATGCAATCACAGAGGTTATCTCTCTTCTTTGTTCTTATCATATATGACATTGAACCCTTCCATTGGTCTCCTTTTATAATGTCAGTCTTTGTGGCACTTTTTGATGATGTATACACACTTGTAACATCATGGCCCTTTGTAATCAATAACAACCTAGTATAGGGTATATATACATATTGGTTGTATATACTTGGTTATCCTTGTTTCCTTGCCTTGTCTTGGTTCTCATTACCCAAGAGTGCATTTTATACTGTGTATTGGATTTATTGACCTTGGCTTGTTTATCCATTCTTGCTCCCTGTTATCCTGATGTTGGCTTGACTATCGAGTCTGAGTATTTCTATGATCCTAGACCTCGGCCTGTCCCTTATTTACTTTCTGTCTGCTTGCGGACATTTCATTTATCTGTGACAGACACTAGCACGGCCACTCTAAGGACCGTTACATGTTTCTCCATTGTTTCCTTTAGGTTTAGGTGATAGGGTATCTCCATTCCTAATAAATCAAGGCAAATCCATATTAACCCATGTTCTAAGGATACAGTTACTGGATTTCTGCCCTTTTCATCCTGATACTACCTATGCACAAGATTACCAAGATCAGTAAAAAGATCTGCAGGGTTCTGAGGCTGGAATATCTCTCTCTGTGACTCCTAGCTCATCTGATGGGCCTCCTCTTTTCGGGTGATATTCCCAGTTCTCTCCATTACAGAGAATAGAGCAATGCAACAAGTAATGATGCATTTCCTAAGATCATCCACATCATATGACCAGATCATTCCCGTCTCTCATGGGTATCTATTTTACGTTTGGAGCTCATTCCATTTGGGGAGCAGCAGTGTCTCATGTGTTCCTCGCTTGAGCTTCCCTGTTTGATCAGCCAGTTGGTTCCGGGAAACAATATTCTGTACATTCTATTTTCCCAACTATTCTCATACTGCTTTTTCAGTGTTATAGCATTAACATAGCAAAATATGAAGCCTCTTATCATGTGGTAAAATGTCACATTTAGTGTACTATTATGTTAGAGATAATACC